ATCACAATACTAATATTTAAAAAATAACAATTATAATAAAATTATAACTAAAATAATAACTATTTTAACAAGCCTAACTTATACCAATGTCCTTAGTTAATCTACTTTTGAAGCTTTGTACACCTAGATGAAAGGGTTCCATGGCTGTCGCAGGTAACTTATTACAGTCCGTTATTATTATATTTGTGAATGAAAATATTCCAACATCAGTTCTCTGTGTTCTGAACTGAATTTTGTGCTTGTGATCCACTCTACTAAAGTAAGTGGGTCTATCGAGTCGAATGAAAATATAGGAGGAACACCGCCACCTCCAGGTATAAACATATTCTACACTAACGGGAATAATATCAGTTGACCTGCCTGGAAACAGCAATTAATCAACCCTGTAGGAAAAATTAGGTGATTCACTTGAATACGTAGATTGTACATTGAAGATTGGATTCCTCGGGACTGCTGAGCTTGAAAAAAAGCATGAGGTCTTCTTGGTTTGAATCTTAATGCCGATTTATCAATGTCCAAATCATTTATATCAAATAAGTTATCTGCTTTTGCCCATTAAGTGAATAGTAATGAGTAAATTCCTAATTCTTAGATGTGAACCTATTTTGTCCATACTCGTAAAATGTCAATGTTGTTTTCAGTTGTATGAAACAAATTATCTTCTTATAGTGTGAAGGGATAAATAGCCCTAATTAGTACTACAGGACTTAACCAGTCCTGAATTGACTGTTAGAACTTACAGAACTGGTCTTGGGAAATTGACTATAATTCTGTATATGGGTCTTCTTTTTGTGGGCACATGTTTCATGATTTCTTTATTATAATCCAGTTACTAGCCTTAGAGCTGAACCAGGGGTGTGCAAATTATTTGACACATTGGTGGTTATGTTGTGATATGAATTATTGTGGAGCAATGCTGGAATGCAGGGAAAACGGAAGAACCCGACAAAACCTGCTGCGAGACAGAATCTGATAACCGGAAATGTTCGCTACCGTTTAATAGAAACTATTTTGCATCGAAAACTGAGCTACAGATTTGATACAATATTCCTGTCGACAAAATAATAACCAAACCCCCACTCTTCTCGTATCTGCCGAAACGAAGACTCAAGGAAACGTTCTGGATAGTATCCCGGACTCAGAAGTGGAAGGAGCGCAAACTTACCCCACGGGGCGCCCTGACACAAAATTCAAGACATGGAGGCAGTTTGTCCACATACAAGCGAATTTTGTTGAAATGCTGAAAATGTTTGACTCATAAAATTTTTACGTACTTGGATGTCGCATTCGAAGAATTAATAAATAGTTTTTGCAACATTAAAAACGCAGGAGTAACCAGCTGTAGCCTTTGTTGCTGAGTGATATTTTGTTTTTTATACGTGTTTGCAAAAAACAAAAAAACAAAAAACAAAAAACAACAAACAAACAAAAAAGGAAAAAAAGCTGGATCACAGCGTTGATGCATTCATACCCCGGACATGTACAACACGCTGGTGAATGTGATTTTTTTGTAAAATCTGGAGATGACTCGCTCTTTACAAGCTGTGGAGCCCCTCCTCCCCCCATGCCATTTGGTAATAAAGTGCAGGGCCGGTAATACCTTTAGGCAAACTAACCATCCTAGCGGCAAGCGACCATTCTAGCGGCAAGTTTTGAAAACGTTGTAACCGGACTGGCAGTGATGGCACACTGACAAAAACCGTTGACGTTGCAGCGTCTCTGACCGCCAGGTTGCAAGTTTCGATTCACGCCAGTGGCGGA